TACGCGCCCCTGTAATTTTTGCAATCTTGGTCGATCGATAATTTTGTACAATATATAAGGGACCAGCCAGATTCTTGATCCATCAGTTGGACCTCAGACTTCATATCTACCACAATGCAATACATTGTAAGTGTTTATTTAGTATTCAAAGTGAAGAATTTAATTTTTAAAGTCGCTGCGAACACATTCATATACTTATACTAATCAAAAGAATAAAAAAAATATTTAAACGTAATTTATCTGAGCTTTATAATTTAAAATAATAAGTAACGCACATCAAAGGTTCGACTTCAACATTAATCATCAAATTAATTCTCACGTCAACGGCTTTTGCATGTGAAATTACTATTCTTACGAATTATAGACTTTAAGCATATAAATCGATTATCAAAGACGTTAACAAAATTGTAGATACATTTTTGCTTTCTTTTTTTAGTTTTCTTGAAGTTAAGATACTTTTTTTTATCTGTGGCTGACAGCTTAACAACAGTTGTCTTTTTTAATTACGAAATTATAAAAAAACGTGCCTAGAAAACTAAGAATGAACCACTACTCTTTCTATCATTTATTTCAGATCCTTATTTTGGCTACCATCGCCTGCGCTTCTGCAGCTCCTGGCTTTCTCCTAGCTCAAGAACCTGATTATTACCATCTACCTTTAGCCAAGTCTACTTTTACATCGAGCAGCCAAACAGTGGACCATGGCAGCACACACGTCATTCATCCACTACCTGTGGTCCATACTGCACCACTGGTCCATGTACCAATGTCAATTAGTACTCAGTCACACGAGCGTACATCGTACCACGCGCCCGCTGCCAAGACTACGGTGACGAACAGCAAGCAAGTGGTGAACCATGGCAGTACCGCGGTCTACCACGCACCTGTGGTCTCCTCGGTGGCACTTCACTCCTCCCCATTAGTGTACCACTCGTCACCACTGGTTGCTTACAAGACTCCAGACTCTGCAATCTCTCACCACAGTTCAACAATCCACGAGACAGTTCCAGTTGTGAATTCATTTCCATTGTACGCATTGCATTAACTTATTGTTTCAAGAAGTATAATTTAATCATTATTTACAGTATTTTATTTCCTTTCCTTTGGAATATTCATAACGACGGAGTTATTTGATTAAATAACAAATTCTCTAAGTATCCTGAAATATAAGTAAGAAAGTATTCAATTTAATAACAAGGTCACATAATAACACGAAAGAGGTACTTATTCGTTGTCAAAGATTCTAAAAAAAGGCATTTTATTTCAAAGTGGCTACTAAAAATACGGAATCTCTTTAACAAAATATAGTATCTTAACCCGGTTGGTGGATTTAAGGAACATTTTGTACAACTTTAACTTGGGCTAAAACTGTATCCATAACCCTTTTTCAATTACATTTGTAAATCTCGTTTTAATTATTACGTAAACAGTACTCAATCACACTAATGTGTTATGAATTGAATGATTCACTTCATTATTTTTTCAAGTAACGCATTTGACAGTTGTTACATTTGAAATTAACAAATCGTTACAGTTATGTACACGATCATTGCATCGATTGATAAACAGATATAAGTTATATTAATGACATCAACGACATGCGAGAAACAAATCGTCTATTAACTCGGCTCATTTGCGTTACGAATTGGTTAATAATTTCATAACCTCGTAACTTTTTGACAACTTACATGTTGTAGTCGACATACATCCGTTGCAATGTCGTTGAATGTTATGTTTTTTTTTAAGTTTCTTATTATAGAAAAGAAAGATGCAACTTTTTGTAGTCTTCTACTCAGAGACTGTAAAGTAACCAAAGATACAACTAACAAATAACAAAAGATTCACTGTAGGTTTTTGAGACCAAAATCCTCGATTAATACAATGTTATCTGTTTTGTCAAAGATGAAAGACAGGGATGATGATATATTTTATGCAGAGGTTTTGGTTTCAGAAACCCACAGTTATTGACCTTCACAAGATCCCATGCAAAGACGCCACATAATATCTGCGTTCGTGTATTAACAATCGATGTCGAAACGATTTATGACGTCACACGAGTGTAGAGATGTAATCGATGGCTCCCGTCTTGCGGATTACGACACAGAGTTATTATTGTCTGTGGTCTCAAGGCTCAGTAAAGCCGAGGATAAGCCACCTCTGGACTCGTCGACCTTTAGCTCTGCTATTTTAGATCAATTAAATTGATTTGGCCATTATTCATTGCATTCATAATTCTTATAGTTGTTTAGTAATAAAGCATTCAATTGGAATTTTCAAGTACAAACTTTAAGGTATTCAATTTAAAGAACAGCGATTAAATAACATTTTGTAATAATTAAAAAAAAACCTTAGTGTAATACCAAATAATATATCCTATAAAAATAATTCATAAACATTTTCAACATATTATACTTATAGTATAACACTTAAGTATATCATAGTCATAAACTGGCAATATTTTAATCAGCAAGGTTTAAACAGATAAAAATGCAGATGTTATCAGAGGAGAGGTGACGAGACGTCGAGATTGCAATCTTATGTACACGTTAATATCGACGTTAAGTAAATAAAACAATTAACGACATCATCCCGAAGTTTTGCGCAAACGCAGATGTAAAAAGCGATACAACAGACAGGCATGTCCAATTTATGTGTAATGCTTATGAGATGAATTTAAGCGCTAGAGTAACCACAAGTTATAGTGAACAGAATTATGTGTATGTACACTCTAACTGTAGCTTTCGACTGCAGGGAATCTCGCGTGTGATGTTGGTGTGTGTTTTTTTTTCAAAAAGTGTCAGAGGAATTACAAAAATATCAAGACTTATTATTCAGCAAAAGAGGCGTAAAAATAAAGCGGTTATATTTATTAGAAACGGTAAATATATAAGTTATAGTTTTACCAATTTATTTGATATCAGTTTTTATATAATAACAAGATAAGCATTCCGAGATATTCCAAACGAATGGTCACCCTACTTTCGACTGCTGTAAAAAAACGTGTCGTGTTAAAGTACTACACGCTGCGCTTACGCATTTCAATTTCACTCTCCGTCAGACGGATCCGTCAAAGCCTTCATACATTAATATAAATGGCAACGTACGCGCAATGACCTTATTTTTGCGCCCTAGTTAATTTTTTAGGCAACTTCAAGTCAAAACATGTAGGTTAAGTAAACTCATTTAATTAAGTAAAGGTTATTTTGAGTTTCTAAAAGTGCAAGGTCGAGTATATAATAAATTGTTACAAGTAAAACGAAAATAAAATTTTACGTTTTTTTACCAAAAAAAATCTTATAATGTACTTAAAAAAAAATCTAGTAGGATATCAAGACTTTAAATAATACTGGTATGATTTAGCAAATAAATAAAAGGAAGAAGTTTAGACATGGGAAGTCAGAAACAAAAGACGGCTACGATGTGTGAAAACTAGGGAGCAAATAGGCGTAAACACGAGAGAAAATATTTACATACAAAATAATATGCATTTTCTTGAATAACTTATCGTACACGACACAACTGTACAAGCCAATTTATTTGAGACAAAATATCACATATTTTAAAGCATCTGTTATTTAAATGCTATGCGAAATTTAGTACATATGACTTTTGATCAGATAATGAAGTCAGCATATGATAGGTAGCTGAATTAAGATTGATTATTACTGTTACGTAAAACTGTTTTAACTATCATAATATTGATCACTTATTGGATAGTTTGTAAATTAAACCTTGAACGAAATATAAAAAAAAATCGAATCAATCGATACTTAATAAAGTAATTAACAAGTCCGGTCCTTTCTCCCGCGCAATATGGTGATCTTAATCATAAACAATATTACACGATATTACTATTTATAGTGAATTGGATCGATCGAAAGTTCCAGATACAGATCGCTAAGATATTTCAATAAGAAGGTTATATCGGAAAGTTGAGGAAAATAATTTAACAGAAAAACATTGAGAAATTTATACATGTTCGAGTCACATATGATTAAATAAATATTGTATATCAAAATATTAACTGGAGCGGAAACATTTTCACGGTCGTGTTAGAGTGACGGAAGTAAAGCTTATCTGCATCGAACCTTCACTTGAAACGACATAAAACATAACAGTTCAAATGTATAAGTCAATTAAACAAACTTGGTAATAACTACATCAAGTCAAAATTAACGATAACATTCATCGGAGTAAAAATCTATCAAAAAATCTTAAAAAAAATTATCTTATATACTATTAAATATGTCTAAGTTAAAACTAATATTACATAATCATTATTGAACAAATTCAAACGTAGTTTATCTAATTTGCTACGATCAATCAACAAACAATATCATTTAAAAGCATTTATGACATGAGAGCACACGACAACAACCGGTCGGTAGCATTTCTCTCGTCGTGCCGTGTCGGTGATCTTGGCATCGGCCCACAAACCCACTTGAGGCGCTGTTGCTTATGTATTTATTTATTCATTATAACCCAACCGCTACAGCCTGAAGGCAGCCTCCGATGATCGAATGACAAAGCTCAATGGATGCGGCAATGCAGATATTTATCTATTATAACAATCTCAAATTAAAAATATTACTAAAACAGCTACTTCTTTTATCAAAAGATAGCTTTGGTGAGCTATATACTCTGTAGATTATATTATACCACAGCGACATATGGATACATTGCTAATGTGTAATAAAATCACAGGAATGTTTAAAAGGGGTGTCAGTGTCCAACAACCAAATCACATACAATACTCTAATGAACAAAGTAAACAATTGCACTGTTTGAACAGCTAAAAGTACTTGTTTCAATAGTCAATAATTTAATTTCTTCGAACGTTAAGATGAAATGTATAAAAGTATATACAATTAATACAATCGCCATATCCACGAAAGCTCTTACTTCGTTACGTTCGTACATCGTTGTGCGCGCCTCAAGTACGTTCATTGCATACGTTTATTGTACGGTTTCGGCAGGAGCTGTATATATATACCGGGCAGTGGCCGGTATTTATTAGATAATTCGGCCACTCCAAGTCGGACACAACTATTCATAACCAAACAAATAAACAAACAACAATCAACATGCAGGGATTCGTAAGTTAATATTTAAATTGAATTTTAAAAACAAATTATTTTAATATTACTGTTTTTTCATTTCTGTGATATCTTACAACACTATTATTGTTCCTGTTTGTATTTATAATTATTTGTAAATTTCAGATTGTCTTCACCGCTCTCTTGGCTTGCGCCGCTGCGGCCCCTGGCCTCCTCTTGGCACACGAGACCCCTGTCGTGGCCGCTGTCCACGCCGCTCCCGTAGTGCACGCCGCTGTTCCATTGGTGGGCGCTAAGACCACCATCACCAAGAGCAGCCAGGTCGTCAACCACGGAGCTGTGGTTGCCCCAGTCGTGGTCAAGACCGCCGTGCCCGTAGTGCATGCCGCCCCAATCGTCCATGCCGTCCACACCCCAGTCGTCCACGCAGTCCACACTCCAGTAGTCCACGCTGTCCACACCCCAGTCGTCGTCAAGACCGCGCCCGCCGCAATTGCGCACAGCAGCTCTATCGTCCATCATGGTGCTGTTGTCAAAGCCGTCCCCCTAGTCGCTATCCACTAATTTGTACCAACCTACCCATATTTATATCCCCACGTTATGTAATAAATCAAATACCTCCATAAATATTGTTTTTTATGTAAAAGCTTAACAAAAGTCCCTTCTGACATCATGTAATATTGGCGACAGAAAGTACCCAATACTTTGTTTTGCAATTCCGCTATTCATAAACTGCTTGTATTTTTAACTTAAATGCAAGTATTTTAGTATCCATCTCTGACCATCATTACGAGATAAGCGGTTAAAATACCTTAAATTTAAAACACTTAAAATAAGTCTTTGCCCAATTTTGGTTACATTATACCATAGCTATCTCGGCATCTACGAAGCTTAAAAAAGCATATAGATGCAATCTACAATAATTACAGTTTAGTTGAATGAACGTGTCAGTTTATCGTGAGATTAAATCTGTTCGTTATCATGTTCGTGTGAGGTGTAAGTAAGCGTTGCGCAAGTTATTTTAAGATTCCTGAGATCATGCAATACGCGAAGAATTTCTTTGACAAACTTGTATAGAGCAATTAATTTCAGAAACGTTATCGTTAGTACTTTGTAGTGAGAATATATCTCAGATCTTATAAAAACAAGCACCTAATCCCTAATTCTTTTTCAACGTATTTTCTTATATTTTCTTAATTAATATTGAAAAAAATAAAGACTTATAATCTAATTCGATATAATCGCATAATATATTTCTTAGAATAGTTCTTTAACATTTGTACGGTCTGAAATAAATTACTCTACATCTGTGTCCGCGAGTTATTCGTACTAAATTCTGTTCAAAGTAGAAGTTTAGGTTAATTTACATTACTGAGAACGTGTAAATGAGATCTACGAGGAAAAAGTGATTTAAAATAATCAACATGATTTGTCCCAGATATATATTTAGAGCAACTAGGAAAAATTGAAAAACAAGACTCTTTAGTTAATAATATACACATAAACTTCATAGATTTGCTCCGCCATCTGAAAAATTGCAGCGACTTTTCTCACGACGGACTTCACAAGCAGGTAGGGAGCGAGTAGAAAGACGACGAAAGCCTCAAGCGAGACTCAAATTGTCAGGTTTTTAAAGATTTGTATAGACTTGTGTACAATAGCCGTAACATATCTTGATTTTATACATGGATTTGTTAAGCATAAGTCTTAAAATTTGCCTGTTTTTACTGATTCTAAAAATTACTTGCATTGCTAATGTTTTGACGATTTTTATCGAGACCTTTCTGGTACCTTCAAGCTATCTTAAGGCTTTGATTGCGCAAAGAATGTACTACGGTCGTACGCAAGTTAAAAATCCGATCACATGTTTTATAGCAGGACATTCCTTACCATGTTTAGATTACATTGGTAGTGAGATAGGATTTAGGCACGCGACAAATTTCTGTGTGAAATATATAAAAGAGACACATACGCGAGTCATTCAGTCGATACTGAATTTATCATCGATTCGGTTTACTGATTTTCTGACAAAATGTATCGTTTGGTGAGTATTTATCAGTAAAATAAATTGACTAAAACCACACAAGTCACATTTTGGTTTAAGAATATAAGTAACTTAAACCAAATAAATAATAATTATCAAGACTAGGTTTATGACTCTTAATAAACTAATTCTTTGCAGCTGGTCCTGGCAATTGTGTTCTCGGTGCACGCGGCGCCGGCACCCAAGCCGGGTCTGCTACATCCTCTGCCTGTCTACCATCACTCTGTGTTGCACGCGCCCATCCTGCACGCGCACACGTCTGTCGTGCACACACCGGTGGTGCATCACGTCAGCTACCACCCAGTGCACACCTCGGTGTGGCACGCACCGTTGCATTCACATTGGTGGTAAAGTGCACAAAGATTTTTTCTTTTCTATTTTTATTTTAAATGTGTATAACAATGAATTAATTTTTAAATATGTATACATATGTAGGTTATAAAATTATTAGTCTTATGATTTTCTACAGAGAATCAATATACATATGAATCAAGACTGTTAAAGATTGTACTTAATATTTTATCACTTTGGTTCAGGTTAATATAATACATACTCCAAAAACTTTACATACTTTGTGTTGTTGTCCTAAACTAAGCTTTCTTTAAAATTGTAAATCCAAATTTATTTTTTACAAACAAAAAAATACAGACAAAACCAGGTGTAGTTACAATATGTAAATGTTAATAACAAAGTTAAGTCCGCTACAAACTTGATCATTTTAAACACGCCACTGTTGTGACGAAGTTTATTCGCTAATGTATTTCTAACTTTGTTACTTTAACTTCAATTATTAAGTTAAAACTTCCTAACATTTAGTCACAGAGAGATCAATAGCTTTGTTTAGAGATTTTAATAAACATTATATTCATAATACATACAAATTGTACTGCTATGTACTTATTTACATATTATAACCACATTTATTTTGCATGTTTCGTATCGTGTTATATTTATGCATGTTACGTAAGTATATAATAGTGTCAAGAAACTGATAATTTTTCATATATTTATGTATTCTATATATGCATACAATTTTTTCTTTTATTTATAAATCACCGAGAAAATATAGTTGTATTTTAAGTTATGTAAAATGTACGAATGCTTAGATATAATATATTAAAATGTAATTTTTATGTCAATTTATTTTTTAATTTTATGTCTAGCTTCTGACTGTTTATTAATGTTTTTGATGTCTTTATAAGAACTATCCAGAGAATAGATTCCAAGTTTATGTAACGTTTAATGCAATCAATCAGAGTGGCGCTGGAGGCAATAATCATATCACAGTATTTGGGGGCGCCAATGTCGCGATCTGTCTTGTTTAGTCTTAATTAATGAATCCGCTCGAGCCCAGCCTATCTGTGTCACTCCTGACCTTCTTGTCTCAGAATAACTAATTCACAAGTCTGTAGGGAATTGTTTAAATGTGACATATGAGGCAATCTGATATCTACAAAGCATATCTCTTATATTTACTGGATATTCGTAAAAACAAAGTCGTATGATAAATTTTTAAATGTCAACAAAATGAAACATTTTTGAACAAATTGAATTTTAAACATACTGTATACTCATTGGTAATAACAAGCAAATATTCGTTGGTTTTGTTTTATTGACTGCAAATTTCTTGACAAAGCAAATGACAGTCTAATTATAAAGAAACGCCTACAAAATTAATCATAGCAACAAGATCCGTGATAAGAATCTTTGCAATTTTTTTTCTAAATCTAATTAAATAAGACTCGACATAGACAAACAATTAAACTAATCAAAACAATCTCAAATTACGTAGTAAATAATTAAATTTTTTAATCAAGAAGACAATTGAAGTTACATTCGTTAGCGAGTGAATTTATTTACTGTAAGAGACTTCACTTGAAGATTCTTTTCTATAGTAATATGAAAAGTTGGCGGATAGTTAATGAAGACGCGGCAGACTAATGTCTCAGACATTGCGGTATTTAATGTTTCTTTGATTCATTTTGATGAATTCCTGAACAACAAAAATGCTTTTAACAACAAACTTTGAAAGGCTTTTCATTTCATATATACTGTTATTTAAATAGATTTGAAATAAGAGATGTGAGTTAATAATTAAATAAGACAAGTAATTAAAACACTAACGTAAATAGAGTCCTTTACTAAGGTAGACTCTGAGTGTAGATCTACACTAAGTGAATTTTAAAGATATTATTAAAAGGACTATTTATAGAAATAGCAGTAGTTTTCCCAATAAATATTGAAAGAAATATAGAAAGAAATTAATTATCACACGCAATTGTAACTTCCTCAGTTTGTGAAATAATCATATTTCCTTGTTACTAAAACATCTGGATTTTCCTTTATTATGTCGTAATCTATTGTTAATATTCCTTATAAAGTAAGTTTTCTTCATTTATCTGCAGTTATAAAGGTCTATGGGCAGTTAGGTAAATCACACGGAAAGAGATATTTCTATGAGATGGATTATTGCTTATTAATTGTAAGTATTTTTACGTTATTTTTGTGCGCTGTTTTATTGACTTTTTACTATATTAGAATCACTCCGTTGTACATTCGGAACATCCTGTATTAAAAGTGTTACCATCATATCAGATCGTAATAAAGCTAATATTGTTTGATGCTTTAAGTTTATTATTATACGTATTTTACAAAATAAAATAAATTCCAATAAGCTTTCTATGAAACACTTGAATTGGTGGCGATTTATTTCTTTGTAGGCAGTTCGTTGACCCCGGAATCTTGTGTCAGCCAAAACTAATATTTGTCCAAAGACGAGTTATTAGCTGCCAGATAAATGTATTGTGCGATCAGATGCCGAAACGTATTCCAAACGGACATGCTGATTACAACTTCCTAAAACCAAACAGTCAAATAAAGTCAATCGTATTACAAATAGCTCTGAAATTATCACAGACATTACAAAATATTCCTATTGTTATACAAAAAATACCATCGATATAAATGTTATTTTTTATTTTAGGTGATAGTGAGCATCACACTATCTTTGCCACAAACATCATCAAAGCCCATAACTATCTACACATCGGAGCCGATAAAACTGGAGCAAGTGATTAAAAAAGAACCCGAACCTAAGACTACTGAGTCTCCTATGCATGCTTTTATTCATGCGTTAATGACCGCGAAGCCGGAAGAAAAGAAGAAACCGGAAGTTGTTGCACCGACTGTCCTGCCTTACTATATGCTATATCCATACTACGGTTTGTTGGCTATGCAGCCAGTATCAGTCGCACCTACCCCACCGCCTTTCTTTTACAGAATGAAGATGTTCTTTAATTTGTTCGGATAATATCTACAGTAAATATTCTTGTTATTATTATTTATTTTTAGTTATTTAATGAACTGTTATTATAAATGTAAAATGTCGAAACAGTAAAAAGATTTTAAAAAAAATTCTGATCAAGTATACATATACGTTTCATTTGGTAGCAACTAATTCATAGTGCCTTCTCTGCTCTTCTTCTGCCAACAAATTCAAACTTAATCCGCAAAATTATTTGCTTTTATACAAACGTATTACTATGATTGTCATAAATAAAAAAGTATTATGTTAC